CCATCCATCCACCTGCCCACACATCCACCCACCCACTCACTCCTCGCTTTTCCCTCCTCCTTCCATCCGTCCATCCATCCATCCAGTTCTTTCTCCCGTCCCTCCATCCCCCTTGCACTCATTCAGCGAATCCTTACGAAGCCCCTGCTGGTACCCGGCAGCAGCATTGGCGTGACAGCGGGCCTGGCCCGGGGCGCTCCCTTGGGCGGGCGAAGGCCAAAGCGGAAGCCGCTGTCTCAGCGGGCGGAAGTAAGGGAGCTCGGAGGCAGCGAGCCGCTGTCCCTGCTGCCTGCTGGCTGGCACTGCCAGGCTGCCCGGGGGCCGTGGGGCGAGCAGACTCCAGGATCACTCTTGGGTGTTTTTCTCTTACCCGCGAGAGCTGCAGTGGCAAGGGCTAGCGGTGGGCTGGAGGGTTACTGAAAGTCTCGCCTCTGTTTTTTCATCTGTGAAATGGCGCTGATATTTGAAGCAACTCGCGGGGTTCGTGGATGTCGGGGTGACGGGCATTCGGGCCCGTCAGCCACCGCTGCCGCTGCTGTGGTGGAGTCTCTCCTGCGTGGCCGTGGGGGCTGTTCGGCACGAGCCCCCCGTGAGTGCAGAGGGCTCGGGAGTCCCGTCCTGGAAGTACCTGAATCACCTCACGCACATTCCTCGTATTAGATTTCAGGTTTATACAAGAGCCTGGAGCAGAAAGAGAGCAAAATCCAGCAGCTTGAGGAAACCGTGCAGAAGTTTGCCAAGGAGTTCACGCAGTTCACGGAGCTGTTTGGCAGAAACGGAACCTTCCTCTCCAACATGCAGGCGAGGGCCCTTCCTGTGCAAAGCCATAAGGCCGTGCAAAGGGCCTGTGCACTCCCCAGGGCACACCCGTGGCCAACACTTTCTGTGTGTGTGTGCGCCTGTGTCTCCAGGGAGCCCCTCACACCTTACCATCTCGTTCCCACCTTTTTCTATTTTTTAAAGAATTATTTATGGATGCACACAGAAGTGGGGGACAGGCCAGAGATGCAGGGGGTGAGAGGATTCACCAGACAGTGGGGAGCAGAACAGGCTGCCGGACGAAATCCACTGCGGAGGGGAGCGGCGGGGAGCCAGGAGGGGTCAGCTGCACCCTGGGGTCCCCTCCGGGGCGGGGATCGAACTCGCGCTGAAGCGGCTGCAGCTGGCTCGCAGGGCTGCGTCCTCGCCCGCTGCGCCCCCAGGGAGGGCCCCGTTCCTGCCTTTATTTAAGACAGTGACCAGAGAAAGCCACTTGAGGGCGGGAAGGGAGAGAAACACGTGGTCACTTTCTAACTTGCGACAAAGATGCCACGTGTCCTTGCATTGACCAGCGCAAGGAACGTTACGTTGAGCTGGTCACCCACGGGCATCACTCGGTAACCACATCAGTCTCCAGGCTGCCCGAGGGCACCCCAGTGTGAATTGGGGTGCCGACTGTGGTGGTGACTGCGGCCTGCCAGGCCTGCTGACCCCCCAGGGCGTACAGGGAGCCGGCGAGGAGCCAAGAGCTAAGAGACCGAGAGCCCCCAGAGCCCACAGGTCCGGCTCTACACCCGGCGTGGCTGCCGGTCCCACCCTCAGGCTGGTCCATCGGCCTGTCCTGCTCCCCGCTCTGTCTCTGGGGATCCCCTCACAGCTCACCGCGCTCTTTGCTAATACGCTGACACTTGCACCTCTCCGCGCCGCAGGTTCTGACCAACCACATGGACAGGTTCTTGTGGCTGGAGGCTCAGGTACGCCAGCTGTTACAGACGGTCAGCCAGCAGCCCGCCAAGCTGGACCTGAGGCCTCTGGCGGAGGAAGTGGACACGCTGAAACTCAAGGTCGCCCTGCTGGAAACCAATGACCACCGCCTAGGTACCCCCCTGTTTCGGGGACTCCAGGGGCTGGGCAGCGGCGAGAAGACCAAGGGGGAGATGGGGCGGGGCTTGTTCTTTTTTAGGGGTTACTATTTACGCACGCAGAACTGGGGTGCAGGCCAGAGGCGCAGGGGCGGCGAGAGGCTCCCCCAGAGACAGAGCGGGGAGCAGGACAGGCAGATCTAGCGAAACGCACTGCGGAGGGAGCCGCGGGGGGGTCGGGAGAGGTCTGCCGCGCCCTGGGGGCCCCTCCCGGGCCGGGGACCCCACTCGTCCTGCAGCCAGCCCGCAGCGCTGCGTCCCAACCCGTTGCGCCACCAGGGAGGGCCTAAGTCGGCAAAACACACCCGGGATGACGCGTGGCCCGCTGGGGGCGCCCGGGAGGGGCCCCCGGAGAGGGCTGTCCACGGGCCACGCGAGGCCCACGCCACTGTTCCCTCTGCAGGAGTCCTGGAGGGGGAGACCCACCGGCACGACATCCACATCAGCATCCACCAGGCGCAGCTGAGCAGCAACGAGGAGCGGTTCCGGGAGCTGGCGGGGGCCTGCTACCGCGGGAAGCTCATCTGGAAGGTCACGGACTACAGGGCCAAGAAGCGGGAGGCGGTGGACGGGCACACGGTGTCCATCTTCAGCCAGCCCTTCTACACCAGCCGCTGCGGCTACCGCCTGTGCGCCCGGGCCTACCTCAACGGCGACGGCACCGGCAAGGGCACCCACCTGTCGCTCTACTTCGTGGTGATGCGCGGCGAGTTCGACGCCCTGCTGCCCTGGCCCTTCCGGCAGAGGGTGACGCTGATGCTCCTGGACCAGAGCGGCAAGAGGAACCACGTCACCGAGACGTTCAAGGCCGACCCCAACAGCAGCAGCTTCAAAAGGCCCGACGGGGAGATGAACATCGCCTCCGGCTGCCCCCGCTTCGTGGCCCACGAGACGCTGGAGAGCGCCAAGGGCCTCTACATCAAGGAGGACACCCTGTTCCTGAAGGTGGCCGTGGACCTGAGTGACCTGGACGACCTCTAGCCACAGGCCGGTGCGCTGTCGGCGACGGTGACAGCAGATCCCGAGGGCAGGTGGGACCTGGCGCGGATGAGAACCCGTCCAAAGGCGGGAGCCAACCCCGCCCGCCCACACTCCCGCTGCGTCAGAGAGTCCACCCCAGCGGGCGCCGACCGCGCTGGCCGGAGGGCCAGGGACCGAGTCCAGTCACCGGTGCCGAGGTGGGCACGGGGTGGGACTGGAACTCGGGCACGCTGACTCCCTCTTGCTCGCGAGTCAGCCTTGCGCCCTGATCACCAGCCTTTGCGACCAGTTATAGGCGGCTGTTGGCAGATATTTATCCAAATACTGATTGTGTTTTTGGTTTTTTTTTTAAAGATTTATTTATTTATTTAAGAACTGGGGTACAGGCCAGGGGTGCGGGGATGAGAAGCTTCCTCAGAGACAGAGCGGGGAGCAGAACAGGCAGGTGGACAAAGCCCACTGCGGAGGGGGGGCGTGGGGAGACAGGAGGGGTCTGCTGCGCCCTGGGGGTCCCCTCCGGGGCGGGGATCAAACTCGTGCTGCAGCGGCTGCCGATAGCTTCACGGTGCTGCGCTTTAACCCGTCGCGCCACCAGGGAGGGCCCCTGATGGCGTATTTTAACTGGCTTCCCTCCCTCAACAGTATTGTTCCGGGGCACCCCAGTGTGGACGGGGCCGCCTCTCCGTGGGCCTCACCTGCGCCCTTAAAATTTAATTGTCCTGCAGGTGCACGCGAAAGGGTCAATAACAGGCTTATTTACAGAAGGGGACAGGAACAGGGACAACCCAGGGAGAGAGAGTGAGAGATGCAAGGTAACTGGAGCATCTTACCAGCTCGGTTGACTCTGAGCTCTGGGAACAAACTGACTGAAAGCCCTGAGTCACGCAGTCCTGAGAGCCATTGCCCGAGCGCCAGCCGCTGGAAAATGGCCCCCAAAGTCCCAGAATTCCTGCTGGCTCCGCCCCGGGGTCCTCGCAGCTCTCTCCCGGGTGCTGCTGGGAGTTGTAGTTTCCAGTCCCTGGAGCAGGGGGCGGAGTCCAGAAAGCCAGAGTAGGGGCGGGGCCCACCGGACTCCCCAGAGTTCCTTCAGGACGTCCTTCCCCTTAACAGTATGAAGCATGTTCTGCCTTGCTGCTGAGGTCAGAGTTCATCCTGGACACTGATCACAGCAGCATATTCTGGAATGAAAGCCTTCCTCACCACAGCAGAGCATTCATGTCATCTACTTTTCCTTTATGCTATGGTTATTTTTAGTCTCTAGCAGTAAGACTTAGATTGTTGTTTCCACCTTGTTCTGACTTTGGTCCCCGAGGAAAAGGAAACCACGGACTGGACATGGAGAGGTGGTAATATCCTGAGAAAAACACCTGTGGGGTTAAAGCAGGTGGGGAGGCGGAGGACAGGTCAGTGCTTGCTAACACGTCAGTCTGGCCCCTCAGCTCCAAGGGTTCCCACCCGGGGAGGGGGTGAGCAGACAGGCCCCAAACCCCATCACACCGCCTAGTATACAAAATGGAACTGGGGTGCAGACAACAGGTGCAGGGGGTGAGAGGACTCCCCAGAGATAGAGTGGGGAGCAGAGCAGGCAGATGGATGAAGTCCGCTGCTGGGAGGGCAGCGGGGAGACGGGAGAGGTCTGCTGCGCCCTGGGGGTCACCTCTAGGGACCAGGGATCAGACTCAGGCTGCAGTGGCTGGGGACAGCTTCATAGTGCCGAGACTTAACCCCTTGTGCCACCTGTTACAAACAGAAAGTCAGCGAGAGGGTCAGAGAGGAAAAGAGTTTTACTGGCTCCGGCAGCACCCACAGAGTGCAACACCCCGGATCTGAAAGTCAGGGTCCAGGTACGGCTTCTGGGGTGAGGCAGCCTTTCTCTCTGGAGTGGTCTGTCTGCTTGTCTGTGAGCAGGTTGGATTCCTGTCGGTTTCTTCTTCAGCTCTGCCAGGCCTCTGCCACCCTAACACCGCCAGGGAGCCCCCACCCACTCACCCCTCAGAAACGGGTTGTTTGGAGACAGGGGACTCCCATGAGAATTCCGGGCCGGGAGTTACAGGGCGCCCCAGGGTGGACTGAATGCCAGTCTGTGGGACCTCACCAGCACGCTTAAAATACAGCTGTACTGCAGGTGCACACAGAAGGGTCAACAGTGGGTCTATTTACAGAAGGGGAAGGAAAACGAGCAACCAGGGAAAGAAAGGAAGAGAGATGCAAGGTAACTAGAGCATCCTACCAGCTCGGCTGAGTGGGAGCTCCAGTAACACACAGATAGCCACCAGCCACGCAGCCCCAAGAGAAAATGGCGCCCTATTTATCCCCCAATGTCCCAGAATTCCTGCTAGCTCCGCCCTGGGGTCCTCCCAGTTCTCTCCCTGGTGCTGCTGGAAGTTGTAGTTTCCAGTCACTGGGGTAGGGGGCGGAGTCCAGAAAGCTGGAGTAGGGGGTGGAGTCCACAGGACGCCCCAGAGTTCCTTCAGGACGTCCTTCTCCTTAACAAAATGGCGCCCTATTTATCCCTCAATGTCCCAGAATTCCTTCTGGCTCCGCCCTTGGGTCCTCACAGTTCTCTCCCTAGTGCTGCTGGGAGTTGTAGTTTCCAGTCCCTGGAGCAGGGGGCAGAGTCCACCAGACTCTGCAGAGTTCCGTCAGGATGTCCTTCCCCTTAACAATCTCCCCCTTTGATATCATAGCACCGTGTCTACGGTGGCACAAGATCACAGGGTGTAGCCTTCAAAGACAGTGTCCATAAGGTTTCCAGTCTTTGGAAGGTTTCATATGTATGCGAAAGAAGCAGCAGTCACCAGCAGTGTTCATGGATGCCCGGTATGACGGTCCTTACTGGAAAATAGTCCATCATTATAGGTGGAGAGAAAAAAAGCTTCCGGAATATATATATATATATATATATATATATATATATATATATATATATATATATA